CATTGATCAATTTTGCATTGATGTAATTTTGTATTAAATCTATAGCCTCAAGAGTTGCCATGGTGGTTACAAAAAATTACGACCAAAATCTAAACAGCTGTTTACACAAAAAAGTTAACAGATTTCGGATTAATTATTTAAGGGAGGCTAGTTTGGATGAATGGCAATGAGCACAATAATGATTTTCCCGATCAAAGCTCTGCCCCCGGTATAGTTTATTATATTCAGTTCTGATACAAGAAACTACACCGAATAGATTTTCTTGAATGTTTGGGAATCGGGGGTTTAGCTCGTATTTTCCCAAAAAAGTTAAAGAATATACAAAAAGTGTTGTATGTTTTGTAGATTATGCTGATTGAAATTCTGTCAAAGATTTAGAAAACATTAACTGTTCGGGTTAAACTACTACTGTGGGTTCACCAGCTAACTTTAGTAGGGATACATATAAATAACCAATACAATAGAAATTATGTACTACAAACATCTTTACTACAGTTGTTAAGTCCTGAGTAAATTATAATTTTCAAATTATTAAATGGTTTTATTTCAGCTAGGGGCATTGTTTTAACTTCTTACTTCATAAAATATCATGAAACGTGATCACTCCGCTTACTGACTTTCACTGCTCTTAACAATCCTAGTAGCCTATACACAGTTTGTGTAACTAATCAGGTAAGATAATATGTAACGATATATTTATTTAAAAATATAAACTATTAGTAAAGATTTTGTGTAAAATGTGAAGTGAGATTACAGCCTTAGCTAAATCACAAAAATGCATCACGATCAAATACTACTGTCGGCACATTCGGTCACTTTGTCGCGATCGTACACACTTTAGCATTGATATGAACGATAACAGCTGATTAACATGTTAACAGCTGTTTAACTTGTTAACAGCTGATTACCTAAACATTGAAAATAATTACTGTAAACCATAACTTGCGTTTATTGAAAAAAGTATGACAAAACGTATGTATTTTACGGATAAAAACTATACTCTATTTCCTTAAAACTTCGCGAAGAAGTCGAATGAAAACATTGATTTCAATGTGAAATTTTTAATTCGTATGTAGAAGTGTAAATGACGGTAGCCGTTTAAATTCGAGCTCTTGAAGGAATTTAAAAAAATATACGGTTGGTTCCTCTCCTCAATTTCATGTAGTCTATATTTGACACTTATGTAAACAAAATAATGTTTAGGAACATTGTCAGAGTTGTTGAAAAATGTCTTTGTTTTTAAATAACGGTAAATTAAAACTAATGAACGATTTAAACAAAGAAGTAATATTTTGTATTTCTAAAATGTACGATAAAGTTAACAAACATCTGACCGTTCACATATCTCTAGCACAAAAGGTTGCTCAGTGTACATTATATGTTAACACTGAAGTATAAGTACCCAAATAAACATTTTCATAGAGTCCAAAACAATATTCAAAGAACAAAATTAGTAGTAAGTAGGCCTATAATGGCAGGCAGTAAAAAGGAAAACAAAATACGAGTTGAATTCTAATAAAACCCGCTTCAGGCTTTTCACAAACATTAAAAAGGTTTCAAAAATCATTCAATGTTGCTACGGTTCTTCCTTACTCGAAGATAACCCATTTTTTTATTCTGTTGACCTTTTTGGTCATGCATTGGGTTTTTGCATTTGTTTTTTACAAATGCAAAAACCCAATGGAATTCTTTGTTTAAGTCTTTGAAATGCTCAATCAACTTTTGAGCACCTATCCAAGTCGTCAGCGTTTTACTGAACTAATTATTTGTTGAAATCAGTTTCCTTACAATATGTGCTAGGTAGCACATAGTTACAAAACAATTACAAAATGTTAAACAATCAAATTAAATTGTAACAGTTATGCCAATACATATAGTCGCCAAATAAAGTTCTTCTTTTGGTGAAAATAGAGCCATTTGTTCCAAAAATAAAAGCCTAATACCGATTGAAACAATCCTTTAAGTCTTAAACCCTCTTGACCCTCTCATTAAGCGTATGTCCAAAAACAATAACTCGTCAATTATTACCTACTCGTATTACTAACTCGTCAACAATAACCTATCACAAACTATTTTGTTGTTGTTCCCTATAAAAAGATTGTTTACCAATTTGTGGTGAATGATATGGGCTAGGTACCATAAAGGTGTAAAACAGTACGATTGAATCTGAAGTTAAAATTATGTACGTACACATATTAAATTAATTAAAATATGTAAAACTTAGACTAAATACAGCTATTTGTTCAACGTTGGCACACAAGGATAATTATAAACGCCAATACGATTCAATCCATCCTTTCAGTCATGGAAATTCGCAACCCCCTCTCCAAGTTCAACAAGTTGCTATCATCTTATCATAATAATTATTTTGTCAAGCTACTCCCTATTAAACAAATAACATTACGACATTTCTCATCTGCGAAACCAGCTGAGCAGCACATGCCTTAGATCACATTGTCTACTGGCTACAAAATAATTAACAGTTAAAATGAAAAATAGTATATTACGTTACTAGTCCTGAAAATAAGTGTGAAAATACCGTGCGAGACGAAGTCGAGTACGGGATTACCATACGAGTCCGGTACGCACATTTTAGACGAGTTACGTACGATAGTTTACGCCATACTACTAAATCTGTACAAATCCTTATATATTTCCACCAACTAAAGGACTAAAAATCACTAGTCATGAGAGGTTATGTTTTTGTTTATAACCATTCATTGCCACCTAAATACAGTATAATCAGCTGATTGGTGTCCGGTAATAGTATATTACGTTACTAGTCCTGAAAATAAGTGTTTACCGGACGAGTGTGGTCGTTCCCGTGCGAGACGAAGTCGAGTACGGGATTACCATACGAGTCCGGTACACACATTTTGGACGAGTTACGTACGATGGTTTACGCCATATTACTAAATCCGTACAAATCCTTATATATTTCCACCAACTAAAAGGACTAAGAATCACTAGTCATAACCTCTAAGAGAGGTTATGTTTTTGTCTATAACCACTTATTGCCACCTAAATACAGTATAATCAGCTGATTGGTGTCCGGTAAAACTCATTGCAGTACAGTAGTACGCAATGAAACCCCATTTGAATAAGCTGGCGGCAAACAGCTGTTTTCTGGACTAAATCCTTGCGTGGGAAGTTCGTCAAAATAATGTAGTGTGGTGTAAAACTCATTACAGTACAGTAGTACGCAATGAAACCCCATTTGAATAAGCTGGCGGCAAACAGCTGTTTTCTGGACTAAATCCTTGCGTGGGAAGTTCGTCAAAATAATTTAGTGTGGCGTAAATGTATTTACACCACACTACATTATTTTGACGAACTTCCCACGCAAGGATTTAGTCCAGAAAACAGCTGTTTGCCGCCAGCTTATTCAAATGGGGTTTCATTGCGTACTACTGTTCTGCAATGAGTTTTACCGGACACCAATCAGCTGATTATACTGTATTTAGGTGGCAATGAGTGGTTGGTTATAAACAAAAACATAACCTCTACTTAGTTGGTCTTAGTGATTTTTAGTCCTTTAGTTGGTGGAAATATATAAGGATTTGTACAGATTTAGTAGTATGGCGTAAACTATCGTACGTAACTCGTCCAAAATGTGTGTACCGGACTCGTATGGTAATCCCGTACTCGACTTCGTCTCGCACGGGAACAACCACACTCGTCCGGTAAACACTTATTTTCAGGACTAGTAACGTAATATACTATTACGCCACACTACATTATTTTGATGAACTTTCCACGCAAGGATTTAGTCCAGAAAACAGCTGTTTGCCGCCAGCTTATTCAAATGGGGTTTCATTGCGTAATACTGTTCTGCAATGAGTTTTACCGGACACCAATCAGCTGATTATACTGTATTTTCGTGGCAATTAGTGGTTATAAACAAAAACATAACCTCTCTCAGAGGTTATGACTAGTGTTTATTAGTCCTTTAGTTGGTGGAAATATATAAGGATTTGTACGGATTAAGTAGTATGGCGTAAACTATCGTACGTAACTCGTCCAAAATGTGTGTACCGGACTCGTATGGTAATCCCGTACTCGACTTCGTCTCGCACGGGAACGACCACACTCGTCCGGTAAACACTTATTTTCAGGACTAGTAACGTAATATACTATTTTGAATTATTTAAATCAGAAGCAAAATTACATCAAAACAACAATAAGTCACAATCAAATTCTACTCTCGGCACATTCGGTCACTTTTTTCGTGATCATTGGGCACATTTTTGCGTTGATATGAAAGATAACAGCTGATGAACAAGTTAACAGCTGATTACCTAAACAGTAACGGTTGTCGGAATTAAAACATTAAAAGGATTACTGTAAACCATAATGTGTATATTAAAGCAGTCTTTTGACAACAGTAATGTATTTTATGGATAGTAAACTGTATTTCCTAAAAAATTGTGAAGTAGTCAAATGAAAATTTCCATTCATAAGTTCTTATGTTGGTATCCCACCGTATAATTTGAGATCTTGAACACATTTTGTGAAAAGATGTGGTGGGCACAAGCTATGCACAAACGTATATTAAATGAAAATAGTCATACCCTATTGGCAATAGTGATATACCTATGTTTAATCTTTCCATTAATAGGTGCACTAATTACACGAAATGTCTTCCAGTCTTCAACGCCTTCTTCAAGTGTAGTCCCAAACACAAGTCAACAGCACCCTATGTATCATTATTCTAATAATAACTTACACCAGGCATTAGGTACGTAGCAATTAATTGGAAAAACTAAATAGTTAAATAAAAAAGCAATGGAATTAATTTAAAAAGGTGAAAGTAGATATGTTTTACTTTTCCATCGAAGGAAACTAAATCCAACAAGTCATCAGCGTCCTGTCAAACTTATTTCAAAAAGTTCTTACCTTATGACAGGCACGAGCTAGGTAACAAATAGATACAATGACAAACAATCAAATTAAATCAGAACTAAAATTATTAATAAGTGGTAAAAGTAAACACTTCTTACCTCCTTCTTTACAGGCCTGACAGGTTCTTCTTCATCTTCAGAATCTCTCCTCCTCATCTTAGGGAAGTCTTCTTGACACCTCACTGAACTGAAACTGACACTACCACTGATAACTCCAGAAGTGTTCCTTCACGCGCTGAACTGAACCGAGGACCACTGTGACTGATACTGTATCAACATTTCGCCCCTCCAACTTCTCCTCTCAACATAACTTCACCTCAACTACCTCATCAGCGAGCTCTCTGATTGGTTGAATTTTACCTGGGAGGAGTCAAAAATAGGCGGGAAGTTCAACCTGATGACCAACTATAACTACCAACGTTGTGGAAGAAAATTTACCTCGGTTATTGTTAAGAGAATATGAATTTAGTATGAATTTTAATGTTTTTAGTGTGTTCTACAACGAATATTTTTATTAAATACATAGTTGTGAATATTATTAATTATTAATGGTTTATTAATTGAGATGGGGACGCCATCTAGAGTAGTATTTAACTTAAATATGAGTGAAGGATGAGTTTAGAATGGGGTGAGATGTTCTTTGTAGCTTTGTTACTAAGATCAGCTGTTCCATTAGTCAGGACAATTATTATTAATAGCGCAATCATCAATGACAGCTGGGTCCTTATAATTACAATTCAATGCAAAGTACATGATTTATAAGATAAATTCTCTAGACTATTGTATGTGTTGGTACTATACGGACGTCTTCCAACAGTTTGTACACTGAGGATGCTTCACGCCAATACCAGGAATGAGCATTTCAAAATTTTATACAGTTCTACGAGTTTTTCAAATATTGCATTCTAAGGTATATTCATTTGTTTGAAATCATTTTGTTGTAAAACATTTGACATTTTTAAAGCCATTGATGAAATCAAGTATATCAAAGGCTATCCTTGTATTTACTTTTGGCAGAGAATTGAATTTCCACAACTAATATCTCTTGAACGGTTAGGTTTAGAAAGAAACAACTGGGTGCAAAAAGTCTTAAAACTGCACGTAAAATATAATCCCAACACCGATAAGAACTTTCTAAGTTGAAGATTGTTTATTATTGGCTAAATCAATTTACAGGTTTTTTTACCTATATAGGTGTAGTCCCCTCTAAAGGTTTGTTAAATGGCATAGTTTCTTAGATCCCATTGGTGGCACAGTTAGGCTGTTCACCCTTGTGTTATATTTTGTTATGGATGTTATAAACTAGCCATCATCAGGTCCAATCGGGGATAGTATTGAAAATAGTAGTTCAGTAGTTAACCTATCATAATTAACTACAATTATGGAGCGTTTTCATCTATAATTACTTAACATTTAAATAAACAATCCAAGCAATGTTCAGCTCTGATTGATTAAAAACCCCAATAATAACTAAATAACTCATTTATTAGGCTAGATCAACATTTCAAATGCATTAGCCAAGTCAAATTTACTAAAAATAACTATTAACTAATTTTTTTAAATATTAATTAAAATTAAAATTCATGAGGACTGTCCGTCAGCGAGAAAGGCGCGGACACTGTACTAGCCTTTACCCGCGAAAGATTACCTCAAGTGCCTTTTGAAGCATCCCGGATCTGACGTGGACTTTATTTGAAGAGGGAGAGCATTGAACAGTTTGATGGCATTATAATTTAGATGTCTTTCAAAGAATATGGTTGAATGGACTGGAATTCCCAGATTGAAAGTATTGCGAAGCAGATATGAGTGGGTGGTTGCGGTGTGAAAAAGATAATAATTTGACTTCAGAAAAGTGAGGACTTCCAGAATGTCCTGAACAAGGAAAAGTTAGAATGGCGGAAGTTTTGAATACAGCTCTACAAGTATGTTTGTAGGGAAGGGCGTGAATTATTCTGATAGCTCTCCTTTGAAGGCGATAGTGGAAATGGGTTCTTGTACTTTCACCACCCCATAGTGCAATTGCATATATCATGTGTGGATAAAGTACGCCATAGTAAACAGTAAGAAGTACCACTTTGTTTGAAAATTTTGCTAGTTGGCGCAGAAGAAAAATTCCTGAACTGATCTTTCTACAGACAGAATCAATCTGGGGTTTAAAACACAAGTTCTCGTCCAACAACCGACCCAGGAATTTTACTTGAGCAGTGGTTTCACTTTCAGTATCGTCCAAAATACAATTTCGTGTAAAACCTTTAGGAAATTATGTTTCTACTATGTGCCCTAAAGCGTAATATATCAAAAAAACAATTAATTGTTTCTAAAGTAATTAGCGTAATAGTAATTCTATAACGAGCAAACTAGTTTAAATATCTTTATCAATTGTTGCACAGTCCCAAAGGTTAATTTTATGTGTTTGGGACTTGAATGTTAAAGGGGAAAAAACGTTAGTTACGCTAAAAACATTGGACATGCATTTACTGTACTTGGAGAACGATGGATGTTAGAAAGATAAATTTAACTGCATTTCTGTTAACATATATTATATTTATAACATATATTATATTATATATATCTCTAAAATCAGATTGTATAAATTTGCTGGTTTTTGTTGCAAGGAAAGTTCAAAAATACAAACTTGTATACGAATATACAGGATTGGTGTATATTACCATCATAGCATGCCTACTTAAACCTGATTCCTAAAAATGGTGATGAAATGTAAGCGTGGTAGCATGAAATGTAAATAGGTATATCATTGATTAATTAAAAATCTGGATCATGTAAATAATTCTTTACTGCGTTTAAACTACGATAAAACAATTTTTGAAGTATCTAACAACAAGAACATCATTTTATGGGGATTATCGTATAATATGTGTATGTGTACTTTTGATTTTACAATCAAACGTTCAACATACATAACGTGTATTAAATTAGTTTAAATTGATATTTACACCGTACACGATATGGTATTAAATTTTGAACTCATGCTTTAAAATAAATCGCAATAAAATTGAAATTAGGTTATACATTTGGAAAAACAATACCATTTATGCAGGGTGTCTGGTCATAAGTGACTACATCTTTGATTGAATGATGCCTGTTTGAAGTTTCGAACTCAAATAATGAGAAAATAACATATAAATTATGAAAAAAGTAATAATTGAAGTTGTTATGACATAAACTAATATTACTGTGTAAAAATCATATTAATCATTAATTTGAAGGTCATTTTTGAAATCATCATAAAATTTATAATAAAATACTACATAAACATTGGTGAATTAACAAAATTCTACTTAAGTATAATTGTAAAATAACAGCTTACAGCTATGACAAAAACGGTCTACTCCTTTAATCGATGGTTTATTTAAAATAGATTCACAGTTTTTACATGCTGAAAACAAGAGCCTCGAAAAATCAAAACCAATATAACATATTAATAATGTACAGACATGTAGCTTAATAATAATTAATAATAATTACAGGTTGATTATGAATTGATAAGTATTATGCCGATGTTAAAGACTAGATGAATAATAATCATACATTTTACAAACTACTGTAAAGATAAGGCCCAAGAAGGGTGATAATTGATAGGATGTCGCCATAAAAAAAAAACATGAAATACACTGTTTCATCAACTCTATATATTCAAATTAATATTTTCTGTTGATGCGTGTTTAGTTTAACTCCGGCCATGATGTGGATCGTAGTAGAATTTGTTTATGCAGGGTGATTTTTAAACGTAACCCAAATAAATACAACCTCCGTGAGACACTTTTTAACGACATAACCAGTAGTATGTTGTATCCCTGTTTCCTTTACTTCATTGCCGTCTGCCGATCAGCTGATATGATGTTGCATCGTTATCTGAGAGGTTATTGAGAATTTATTGTAAATAAAACTCAACGTGGTATCTTTGTAAGCTCAAGTATAGTATGCATTGTAGATCTACGTTTTCCCCCTACATGTCTGGTCTCCTTTATTTTGACAACTCTATGAATAGTAATTTTTTAGATGCTAGAACCAAACATGGGAACTTAATTTCAAACCTATATTGACATAAAACCAATGATTTAATTTTAACGTACAAGAGATTCTCTTTGAGCTAGCAAAACCCCTATGTATTCTAAATAATACTAAAACTTATCTAAACCTTTGCAACAATGCATATTAGCTGATTTGTAGTGTAGTAATGACAACAGTTTTACCAACATATGGGCTATAATTTTGTCTTTAAAAAGTGTCTTACGATACCACATTCATTCTGATATCTTTCTTATCATAACATAATAGGACTCATTCCCACGCACGGGTTATCCCATGTGGGATTAATTTCGTTTATTTTTTAGCTATACAGTTATCTTAAAGCTGATTTCTATTGTATACATTAGTTGTTGTAAACATTGTCTATTTTCTACTAAATAAAAGCTATTTTGATTTGATACTTGGGTTTGGGTTGAGTTAAAAAAACTCCCTCTACTACAGGTCTACTTTTTTTTAAGAGGTTGGCGGCCTTTTTTAACCTTGCATTTGCCCGTCCACATAGACTAAGCGCCCGGGTGTGGATCGTTTACAGTAAAGCAAGGAGTGAGACGGTACAGTACAAAGGTGAACTGTACTGATAAATTTCAGTGGCAGTGACCAGGATCCGAACCCACGACACTACTGCCTTGGGCCCGAAGTCCGCGACGCTACCGACAGAGCCACCGACTCACAACTTTAAAATTATCACAAAAAAAAAATAAAAATAAATTAATTATATAACTAAACTAATTAAAATTATCACTTTTAATTATCACTATCCTGATGTTATCATTTAAAATATCCATACCAACATATTAGTACGGGAAGTGTTGTTCTTAACATGCTATGTTTTCCAATTAGAACACTACTTAAAATTTAAAAGTAATCACTTTAAACTGCGACGGTTCTAAACTCATGCTTGGTAATTGCAAGTATTTTTCTCTAGTTAATCACTTAAATACATGAAAACTAGTCAAAAGCAAAATAAACCTTTAATGCTATGGTTTAAAAACATTTTGGATTCAATAGCATTATACTAAATGTGTAAAGCTAGCTCACAACTACATTCCTAGATAAATTTCACGCAATTCATGAAAAAACTATAATTATTTGAAAAACTAAATACT